ATTTACATATGACATCAAAATATTAAACTTATATACTTATGTAGGCTCTCCTTACTTGTTCATCAACCCATTGCTAGTCCTACTGCCCAACACCTCTTTTTCGACAATATACTAGCATTAGTATTCATATAAAAAAAAGAGGAGGTAAGAAAATGAGAAGGAAGATGATGCCAGGGAGGAAAACAGGGTTTTCTTTGATAAAATTTCGGACGGAATTTTCACCTGAAACGTTACCGTCGAAAAATTCGCAAAAATTTGTTCATTGTGTTTAATAAGCAGACGAAATATCCATTATAGATTCTACCGGTAAGTTCTGATGGAAAATATGATGGAATAAACTAACGTTCTTAAAAAATGACGCATATTCTGACAGATTATTTGCCGGTAAAAGGGCGACAAAATATCCATCGGAAACTCCATCATTAAGGTACCGGCGGAATATCCGCCGATTATTTTACTGCTTTTATCGATGTATTTACTTCCACCGAAATGTTCAACAGTAATACAAAATTTTCATGTAGTGTTAACATAAGTCAAATCTAATACATATACTCTAGTCATCATAATGCTATTGTTTTATGTGACCAAACCATCTAATTAAGACGACTCTCTCTAATCTTATCTATCATTGGAGCTACTCCAACCTTTTCACATATATGCTCATTTCATATTCTGTCTCTAAGAGTAAAGCCACTCATCCAATTGAACATCCTCATCTATACAACACTTCATTTTATGCTTCTCTTTTAATGACCAACATTCTACACCATAAATCATTAGAAGTCTCACCACTATCTTATAGAAATTTCTCTTAAGATTGAGGGGTGATTTTCTACCATTTAACAGACTCGATGCATTCCTCCACTTCAACCATCCAACTTGAATAATATTCCCATTTATTTCACCATCACTCTAAACAATAATTTCAAAAAGTTATTTTTTTTACAGCAGCTTCACAAAATAGCAAGAAAAGTTTAAGCAAAATTTTTTAGGTTTTTGAGTTTAATTGGGGTTGTTTGGTTGGAAGTAAAATAGGAATAGAGTATTCGAGATGCAGGAGATTTTAAAATATTGCCGTATGGTTGGATGAAAAATGAATGTAAAATAAATGTATTGCAAACCATGTTAGTTCATTTTAAAGCCAAACTAAACTCACACAGTTTTGAGTATGAATCATTTACATCGCAAATAAGCTTGCTTGACTGTCGCCACACACTTTCGGCCATCACTATTGCCATTTGCCACCACCCCCTGGTCGGCCACCATCGGCAACTTGTCGTCCACTGCCAACCACCACAAAACGTCAATTGATGCCACCCACCACAAGTTACCATCAGCAATTACTGCCACCCACCACGGAACGGCTACACTGCCATGGATGGCCACCACCATCGTTGGATGTTACTGAGCACCACTACTGGATAGTGTCGAGCACCAATAACGATGGTTGCCACCACCCACTGTTGATCACTACCACCACATTCCGCCAGCGGCAACCACCACCATCGGCAACCACCACTACCACCCCTGCCGCCGCCACCCACCACCGGCCATCACCACTAGCCGTCGATCACTACTACTGCCATATGAATCTAGCCACGGCCACCGTTGTCGCCACTATCATTGAACTTTACACCACATTCATTTCACTATAAACCAAAAAAAAAATTCACATGTATTTACCTTATATTTTTCAAACAACTCTAAAATATTTCTTTTACATTATGTTTATTTTCCACAAAATTTTTTTTTAGCAAACCAAACAACTAGTAAAAAAAACTAAAAAAACCTTTACCCCAAGACCAAATCGATCTTCTAGACTAGGAGGTTCTATGCCATTTTTCTAGTTGCTCCTTTCATTTTTTAGACTAATAGGGGATGTTTGGCAACTAGCGAGATTTAACATTAGTAGGATTAAGTAAATCCTGTAAATCCGCATTTAGTAAATTCTACTAAATTTAAATTCTGAAAATTTGTTTGATAACATAAGTATTAAATCCTTGTGAAACTGTTTGACAATGCAATCAAAGATTTAAAGATAATTAGTTCATTAAAAACTCATATTTAATTAATATTTTTAATATAAGTTGCTTATTCATTTTAATTTAAATTACCACAATAAATTACAATTTTAAATGATATAATTAGAAGCTAGTTTAATTATTAAATAACTTAACTAATAATGTAATTATTGTTTAGAATATTAATTATGTAACTTAAGTAAAATTATAACTAAGGGATATTAACTAACTTAATTATATAATTACTATTATAAATATCAATAACATAACTAATTCTATAACTAATATTACTATTTTGAATAATTAACTAATTCTATAAATAATATTACTATTTTGAATAATTATCTAATTATTATTTATAATATTAATTATATAATTAATTTTTAATTAACATTTATAATATTAATTATCTAATTAATTATTTATAGTTTAATTTCTATGAATTAAATTGCACTGATTAATTCCTAACTAACTAATTACAGTATTTTTCTCTTTCGATAGCCTAAGTCATTTCTATGTTTTGCTTTTCTCTTCTTTTTTTTGTTGCTGTTCCACTTTGCCTTCACGTGAAGTATGGTTTTGAACGTGTTGCTAAAAGCCTTCTACACCTCATTCGAGCATGTTCCTTCCTGTTTGATCGGTAGTAGCAACAGGAGCTCACTTGCTGCGAAGGTAACTATTTTTCTCCCTTTCTTGCACTTCTTCAGCTAAATCCCTTAAATCCACCGAACTTTAGGATTTAGTAAGGGGAATTTACATGCATACCTCTCTATAGCACCCTATTTACATATCTAACACTTAAAACTTTAATGTTTTATTCCTAACATCCATAAATTACTTTATATCAAGTATGCCACCCATATTTTATTCCTACAAACTTTAATATTTGATTCATACCACTTATATTTGATATGAAAGTGATCTATGGGTGATATGAATGAAATATTAAAATTTGAGTGTTAGATATGTGAATAGGATGATATAGAATGGCATATATATAAATCCTCATTTAGGGGCTATTTGATTGGAAAAAAAGTGAATGCACTACATTCTTAATGTATGGGTTTTGAACCTTTGGGTGTTTGATTGGATGAATGCATTACACTCTTAAGTCATACATTTTATCTAAATAACTCAAAAATATTTTTTTACACTAATATATATTTTTTTTGTTCAGACAATCAAACAGTCAATAAATCAGGAGTAAAACGAAGGGGTTGTTTGGCAACAAGTAGGATTTAACTTGAATGGGATTTACTAAATCCTGTAAATTCGGATTTAGTAAATCCTGCTAAAGTTAAATCCTAAAAACTGATTGACAACATGAGCGTTAAATCTTGTGGAGCTGTTTGGCAATGTAACCCAATATTTAAAGTGGTTATATAATGAAAGCACAATAGAATTCAATGAAAATAAAAAATAACAAAGAAATCATCACTGCTTAAAAATTCCTTTTCAGATCTATTTGTGCGTTCAAAGGTAATCAACAACATAGCAAAAAAAAAAAAAATAATAGATGACAGTTTAAACCTACGAAAAAAAAAAAAAAAAAAAAAAAAGAATAATAGATGACAGTTTAAACCTACGAAATCCCAAATAAGGCTCAAAGCTCAGAAGTTGTTTACTCAAAAACTTCATAGTGTTGATAATCTACTGACTATGAGAGTTCGTTGACGCCTTCTAGGAGTCGTCCTGCGAGGAGAACAATTCCAGCTTTTAGACGCTGAAGGATAAGGAATTTTTATTGCCTCCTCCCACCTGACGCATCTCTACGTTCGGTATGTCGTGATAATGCGACACCTGGCAGCCAACTTTACCCATTTTGACCCGACGCTAGCCCATATGCTTTACCACATTTTTTAAAATTCTTCGGGTTGGCCCGTCGTAATGTATATGAAATGGGCGAGAAAAGTAAAAAAGTATGCGGCTTTTACCTCTGGTATTAAAACCTTCTCTGTATTAAACCTAAGATGTTCTACAGTCTTTACGGTTCCCATAATTTTCATATACCTGACGTAAAGAAATCGTTAAGTATTTTAGGAGATGGAAGGATCGAATGAAGGTTTCGGTTTTGAAGACTTTGTATTCTGCGAGGAAACTCAAACTTTAAGCTATGATGAAGCTTTTTCTGATTTGATATTAGTAAGTTTTTATGTATACTGTTTGTTTTTTTTCTACTTTTTACTGTTTCATTAATGGGTATCAAACGTTGGTTGTAGTAGTATTGATCATTACTCAATACTAATACAACAAATAATACAACCATATTATTTGATGAATGAATTTTAGTTTAGCCCGGAGAATTTCACTGATCAAGGAGTTGTACATAATTTTCAGTATGAAGCTTTTTTTAGCTCGGTATTAGGTCGGTATTCTATATTATAGATTGGTATACGTTCGGTACTGATTATAATGGATAGGTAAAATATCGGTACACAGTTGTACCGAGCAATACTGAGCAATAACGAGCAACACACAGTTGAACTCCTTACCTCGGTATAAGGTCGGTATTGAGTAGTATATATCGGTATACGGTCGGTACTAATTATAAAAGCTCGGTATAATTCCGGTTAGCACTAGTACAGAGCTAATTAATATTAATACGTCGTAGTACCGATAATTCATATAGTAGTCGGTACTGATCGGTATATACCGAGATGTACTGCATAAACCGCTCGGTACCTCGGTATCAAAATGTTTTTAATGTCCTGGATTGATATTTAGATATAAAGCTAATATGGATGTTTGAATATTTATTAGGGTGTTTACAATTGTGAGAAAGAAGCATATGAAAAATATTACCAGTATGCGCATTCAATTAGATTTAGTGTTCGGAAAGAACATCACCATTTATGGCCAAATACAAGGTTAATCAAATCAAAGGATTCTGTGTGTTCTAAAGCAGGTTTCAAGAAGGAGAATGAAAGTGGTACTAAGTTAAAATATCGAAGATCATGTACAAGAACAGGATGCCCAGCCATGGTTAGATTTTCGGTGAGTCAAGATGGGCTTTGTTCAGTGAATAAATCTGTAGAGAGTCACAATCACGAACTAGCTAGGCCGGATGATCAATATTTGTTCAGGTCAGCTAGGTCAATTAGTGATGATAATGCAGCCGTTTTGAAATCTATGATAGAAGCCGGTATAAGAACTGTCGATGTATTTACGTACCTATCTAATGAAGTTGGAGGTGTGGCTAATCTTGGATTCACGAAGCGGGATGGGTACAACCATATCCAAAAAGAAAGAAGAGTGATGTTTGAGAGTGGAGACACTAATTCACTGATCAAGTTGTTTAAAGAACGGGCAATTGATGACCACATGTTTGCATGGGATGTTGAAACAGATAAAGATGGATGTTTGTTGAATTTCTTTTTGGTTGATGATCTTGGTAGAATCGATTATGACTGTTTTGGGGATGTGATTATATTCGATACTAGTTATCGTTTAAATAAATATGAGTTAGCTTGTGCCCCAATTGTCGGAGTGAACAATCATTGGCAAAATGTTCTACTAGGAGTTGTATTTTTATCTGATGAGACTATAGCTTCTTTTACCTGGCTTTTTCAAACATTTATAAGAATCATGGATAACAAACATCCCATTACCATTTTTATTGATCAGGACTAAGCCATGGCTAGGGCAATAGAGATTGCATTGCCTAATACACGACATCGATTGTGCCAATGGCATCTGCACAAGAAGGCACCTTCAAAGGTATGGTGCTTTAACAGCAACAACAGAGTTAAATGCTTATTTTTTTACTGTTTCAAACATTGTGATTCAGTGGAGGAATTTGAGAGTAAATGGACTGAAATGATATCAGTAGGAAACCTGCAAAACAATCAATGGTTGAATGATCTGTACAAAATCAAGGATAAGTGGTCAACTGCATTCAACAAAGATTGTTTTAATCTTGGCATTTTATCAACCCAACGGAGTGAGTCACCAATCATGTATGCCATGGTTATTCCAAGCCAACAAGTACTATCACGGAGTGCTTCCTCGGTTTGGAGAAGGTTATGAGAATTTGACGTCGAAATGAACAAGATGAAGAATTCAAATGTAATCAAACTAGCATAGTTTCTTATATGAAAAATAGCCCAGTATTGAAGCAAGCTGCAAAATATTATTCAAGGAAGTTGTATGCATTTTTTGAAGAGGAGTTCTTACATGGACTTGGTGGATTATGCGTGGAAAATACTTCATCAGATTTATCAAGGTTTTCTGTTTGGATCATTGACAGCTCCACTGATTCACATAATTGGATTGTCAAATTTAATTCAATTGAAGGTACCATTGAATGCACCTGTGCTAAGTTCGAAATGATGGGAATATTATGTGCACATTGCATGAGAGTAATGAGACAGTTAGACATTATTAATATTCCCATTAAATATTTACTCCAAAGATGGTCAGTCAATGCTCGAAAAGATTTATATTCTGGAGGTAAGATCCCAAGTCTTGGTACTAATGCTTGCCAACTTATTTCGGGCGATAGCAACTTGATTTTCAGAAATTATGTATGTCATTTTGCATATAAAATTAGCACATAAGCACAAGGTAATAAAGAGGCTGAGAAGTGTGTCATAGATGATTTGAGTACTTTAGCTGCAAAAGTTCATTCCATCAAGCTTGGTAGAAAAAACATACCAATTTCTGGAGCTGGTCATGAAACTATTAAAGATCCAAAGAAATGTCGGCCCAAGGGCGTTTCAAATGCAAGATTGAAGGATCACTGGGAGAAAAGAAAGCTCAAAAAATTTAAACAAACCTCCACAATTCCTCCCACAAGCTTACACTTTACAAATTCAGATTTAGGTAGTCAATCGTATTTCCTGTAATCAGTAAATTTTGCATTTAATTTATATCATTAATATGACTTTCTGAATGTATATGTGATTTTGGAGATATTTGTGCTGATACCGAGCAATACCGATCGTTATTGGGTTTGTACCGAGCTTATTTCGCGTAATACCGAGTAATACCGATCGGCATTGTCTTTGTACCTGGAAACCATACCGAGCTATACCGACCTATTCCGAGATATACCGAGCTATACCGAGCCATATATATCGAGCTATACCGAGCCATACCTATCCATACTGAGCTATACCGAGCTATACCTAGCTATACCGAGAAGCCCATTGCTCGGTATTGCTCCCTTTTTTAGTACTGTGCACCATTTTGTTTTTAAAAAAAATTCACAAGATATTCAAAGTTAAACATTTCTTTCATAATCTATTGAATTTTAGTGCATAGCAAGTCATTAGCAAATTCAGCCCTATACAATGGCATACTAGAATGCCAGTTCAAATGTCGATACCATTTAATTGGTTTTGTTATATTAGAACTTCCATATATTTACAAAGATACATTCCGCAATCGACGCTGTTATTTTGTGTTGGTACGTTTCTAAATCTTTTGATTGGCCATGTCGTTATATCATTGTCGAAGGCGTCCACTGTGTCTTTATAGAAATGAGAAATCTGGATAACCAAAATCAAATTAACATAGAATAATGTTAAGAGTACAAATGATAACAAAAAAATTAGTTATTACTTACAACTTCTAGGAGTATCTCTTTATGTGTCTTCTTCGGTAATGAATCATAAAACTCCCACCATTTTTTTAACAAATTGCAAAGTAGAAGCGTCCAATGTTTACCGTATATTATTGGAACGAAGATCAAATTTACATTCCTAATAAGGGTTTCGTTTATATGAGGTACGAACGTTCTTGTGTTCGATTCATTGTATTATTTGTAGTAAAGCTGGTTAAGAATAAAGAAGAAGTAGTGTGATTAATTCGAACATGATTAAATCGAATAAATACAAGAATGTTAACTACTAACCCAATGGAAGCTTGAAACAAATAGAAAATGTTGATTACGACCAGGACATGCTGCTTCCTTCTGCGTTAATAAATGACCAAACGCGTCTATGTGGTTATTATCAAGCTCTTCCGACATTAATAATTCATCCAATTGGCTTCTATAAATTGCTATAATTCCAAGCTCGAAGATAGAATCGCTCCTTTATAATAAAAAAAACAAAATGTAGTACCGCCTCAAAATGTTATAATACCGAGTACAAATGTTGTAATACCGAGTTGTACCGAACAGTAAAGGTCGGTACCACTCGTTATAGATATAGTAACGACTCAAATTGGTATAAAATCGAGTACTCACTTAAACTTGAATTATTTAAGGCCATTATCGATTATGAGGCGTTTATCTTCACTAATTAAGGCTCTGCCAGGGTAATCTAACATTTCAGCTGCAGGACTTAGTGGAATTTCTTTATTTTCATCAACTTCATAAACAACCATTGCTTTAACAACAGACGGTTCAACAGCAGTAACATTAGCTTATTCTGGTTCTATACCAATTTTAGGAGAGGCTGCGGCTATGGAGCTGTATCAGGTGCTGCTGCAATTACACTTGGACTAGTTGGTGTAGGTTCCGTTGGAGGTTGTGGTGCAGGAGTAGGTGTATGAACTGGAGCATTTTCCGGTGCTTTATCTGGAGGATCACTTGCAATTGCATTACCTAAATCCTCTTTGGATGCCAATTTTTTTTTTCTTCTTCCTAACACCCGTAGTGAAAGGTGTGGATACAAGTTTTCTTTTTCGATCATTTCTCCTTTGAACTTTTTTTGCAATCCCTGTCAGTAATGACGGATCAACCTCATACTCACTCAAGGTCGTGTCCTGTTCAGATACAGTCGGAGATAAAGAAGAACCAGCACTCATTTCTTTCTTGTAAGTTTTAAAATAAGAAGGAAATTGTTCTTCAAAGAACTGCATCAAAAACCGGTCTTTCTTTTTAATTTGTTCTTTCAAATTAAAATTTTCCTTTTCCAAATCAAACACAGAGTCCTCCAAAAAATGTATGCGCTGTTCAAATATGTGATTGGTTGCTTCCACATCTGCTACCTTCTTCTTCATAAAGTTGTGCTTGTTGAACAGCTCGTATATTGCTTTATTTAATATTCCAAGTTAGTTTCATCATCAATATGTCTAGATTCAGGATGTGCAGATGAATCAGGATGAGTTTGGCTTGATATCCGTACTGGACTGACTGGAGTTGGTGGAGCTGAGTCATGTTTGAGTGGACTTGACAACCGCACTGGAGAAGCAGGAGTGGGTGGACTTGACTCGGCTGTTGTGGTGAAAGCTACCCTACTAGGGCTTGCCACCCGTATTGGACTGGCTGGGGGAGAAAGACGAAGCAATAAAGCCTTCTCATCATCAGTTATTCCTTGCAATTCTTTAATTATCTGCAAAAAATATAACATTACATCCAATTTAACCATTAACAAATATAATTTTACGAGACAATTGAATTAAAATATGTAGTGAAGATACCTCAACATCTTGAAGGTCATCAAACATGTTATTTACTTCTTTCTCAGTGTAAATAAAGTTACCATCCCTGTGAGTAAAACGAGGCCGGGATAGATCATCCTATAAAGCATGAATTGTTGTATATTCAAGAAACCAAATCTGTAGAAATAAAGGCAATTTAATTTTGTTATAAATTTTGTACACTAATCAAACATTTATTGAACAAACAAACAATACTCACAATTAAAATCATTACAAAACCATTTACATAACCCAAAGAAAATCCCTTGGCTTGTTTTGTAGCAACAACGTTGAACTCTTCAATTAGGAAACCCCTAATTGATTCAGGCCAGTTGTACTGATTAAACATATCAAGAGTGCTGAGAAGTTCCAAGATAGATAAAGGTATCCGAAAGTTAGCCGTTAAATATGTTTGATAGGAGGTAAAGGATGAAGCATTTCACGAGATCATCCATTGGAGTGCTATTATCCATCCTCTCAATGTCGTGGCGAATGTCATTTGAAGTTTTACCACTGGATCTGGCACTGCCAATGTCAAAAATAATACCCCTATTTGGCATGCCTATCAGTAATGCAACTTCGTCAGATGTGAATTTTAGACTTTATCCTTTAATAATGAAACTTTCGGTCTTCATATCCCACTTCGTTAATAACATATGTATAAGTGGAACATTTTGAGGCATAAGAGGAAGCCTGAGGAACTGGCTGATTTGCAATTGATGCAGTCTATCAACCAAAGGATCTCCAAACCTCTTAACAAGTATATTACAAACTTCTCTAAAGTCGAAGTCCGGCATCGGAAATGAATCTTTGGAGTATATCCATGCGTAACATCAATCGTTAGTAATACTAATAACTAATACCGATCAATATCGAGTGCTAATATTGCTCGGTACTGCTCGGTACCGAGCAATACAGAGCAATACCGAGCTGTTAGATAAGCCTATACATACAATTAATGGCAAATACCGAGCAATACCGAGTGTTAGTAATACTCGGTACAGCTCGGTACCGAGTCGCACCGAGCAGTTAGCTAAGCTTATACGTACCATTAATGACTGATACCTACCATTATAGGCAAATACCGAGCAATACCGACTATTAGTTATGTTCGGTACAGCTCGGTACCGAGCAATACCGACTAATAGTTATACTCGGTACAGATCGGTACCGAGCAGTACCGAGCGATACCGACTAATATTTATGCTCGGTACAGATCGGTACCGAGCAGTACCGAGCAATACCGAGTTTTACTAATGCTCGGTATTGCTTAACTCATACTGTTCTTTCATGGCAAATAATGCTCGGTACCGCTCGGTAAACCCTAACCATAAATATTACAAAAGAAGAAGAGTAGGCATTTCTAATCAAATAATAAACTAACCTGAGGCATCGTAAAAGCAAATATGCAGAGATCGGTACAACATAGAAATGGAAGAAGAAGAATCACCAGTTGGAGAAGATGAAGTATATCCAAGCGAATGATGACTGAAGTGAAAGATGGTAAGGTTTGTTTAAAAACAAAGCCGTTTTTTTCGGGTCCGCGCGATAATATTCGGGTCCGTTGGTCGGGCCGTAAGTTTTAAATTTCGCTCGTGTCGTATACCCAATCTTCGCCGGGTCGGGTCTCGGGTAAAGTTGGCTGCCAGGTGTCACATTATCACGGCATACCGAACGTAGAGATGCGTCAGGTGGGAGGAGGCAATAAAAATTCAAAGATAAGCCAGCGCTCTCGCACTCCCCTTTCTCGGAACAATTATTACGTCCTCTGACCGAATGTAGACCTACGTTCGGCCGCCGATAACATGTCGCTACGTGCTCTTACTATTTACCGCGCGGCCGACGACTTGAACCGGACCAGAACCCAGGAATACTATATTCGCGTATTGCGAGGTATTACTCGATATTTGCTCGGTATTGCTCGGCAATAACGAGAAATACCGCTGTGTGAAGACCAATACCGAGCAATACCGAGTTGTAACGAGTTTTTTAGAAAAACTCGGTACAACTCGGTATTCCTCGGTATTACTCGGTATTTGCTCGGTATTGCTAGGTATTGCTTGGCAATAACGAGAAATACCGCTTTGTGAAGATCAATACCGAGTTGTGCCGAGTTTTTCTAGAAAAACTCGGCACAACTCGGTATTACTCGGTATTTGCTCAGTATTGCTCGATATTTGCTCGGTATTGGTTATTGCCGAGCAAAATCGACCAATACCTAGCAATACCGAGCAATACCTACCGAGCCATCCTGGGTCCATTCCAGGTCGGGTTATCGGGGCGCACAGTAAATAATGAGAACGCGTGGTGCGATTCTACTGGCGGCCGAACGTAGAGCTACGTCCTATGACCGGACCAAATAAAAGTTCCCTTTCTCGTGCGATGAAATGTTAAATCCACCGAATTGTAGGATTTAGTAAATTTGAGATTTACCTCAAAAAGGATGAGATGAAGGATTAATTCCGTTGTAATTTCCAACGGTGTCATAAATCTTGTTTGGTAAGATTTAACGTAAATTATTCTATTTGAAATTATATTCAATCATACAAATAATTTAATTTATTACTTAAGTATTATTTAGTTAGTTTTAATTATAAATTATATTTTTAATTATCTTATTAATCACTTAAGAATTCTTCTACTCATTAATTATTTAATATTATTTATACTATCAGTTATATATTTAATAATTTCTATTTAAAATTATATTGATTAAGTTAATTATATTAATTTTTAATTACTAATTATATTGCTAACTATTTAATTAAGCTAAATTAAATAATTAACGTATACATTAATTATAATTTTAAATTATTAATGATTTAATTAATTTACTTAATTATTAATATTTTAAATTATATTAATTAAGTTAAGCAGTAATAGCTTAGGTGCTTTTTATCTTCTCTTTTTCGTCGTTCCTGTAGAGATTGCACGAGTCGCTTCTTCGGCCAGTTCGACTTCGCTCCTTGGACGACGTTCCCTTCCTGTAGGATCCGAAGTTACAGCATTTTGATCGGAAGCAACGACGGAGCTCGCTCGCTGTGAAGGTAACTTTTTCCATTTCGCGCGCTTCTTCGGCCAAATCCCGTAAATCCGCCGAACTACAGGATTTAGTAAATCCGGGATTTGCTAAATCCTGCATAAGTCCTGTTGCCAAGCAGCCCCGAAGGAGTTACTCCGCCGTGAGATCTACCGGCGGCTTAAATACTGCCAACAGGATTTAAGCATACATCCTGCTCAAACCTGCATAAATCCTTTGCCAAACAGCCCCATAGGGCGACGTACCCAGCAATATTCCCACTGCTCCCGCCGCGCTCTTTGATCTCCGACATGGGAAGCGTAGGCCGTGGCCGCGCCCTCTTCACCGCGGGCAATGCCCACCAAAACATCGTATGCGGGCGGGCGCACCAGATCGGCGCCCTGGCCCTCATCGCCGCAACATTCTTTCTCACCAGGGCCCTCGACCGCCTCTACGACATCCCAATTCCTTCTCACCCTTCCCTGTCCACCGTTGCCGGCGAATCTCCGGTTGGCACGCTCTTTCAGCACCCTGGTTTCCTTTCTTGGCCTAACCGCGGCTATGGGACTTCTCTCTCCCTGAAGATCTACGTCTACGAGGAGAGCGAGGTGGATGGACTCCGTGAGCTGATGCGGGGAAGAGACGGCAAGATCTCGGCGGAGTCCTGTGCCAAGGGACAGTGGGGTACTCAGGTATGTGGAGTTTGATCTAGGGTCTGTTTGGTTGTATATTTGTGTAAACTAAGCGAACTTAAGCTGTGAGTTGAATTACGTTATTTGGTTGGTTAAAATTATAAAGCTGATATAAGATATTTAATGTTTTTTCTACTTTGGCTTAACATTTGACATAATTTGAGTGATAGAGTTGTCGTAACTCATGAACTTTTGAAATTTTTTGATAACATCAGCTCACCTCACATGCAATAGATAATTTCTCCCCTCTAGATGCATGAATAATCTTTTTACTGGTGCACCTGAAGGTTTTTGTAATGAACATCCTCATTTCATGCTTCCATTTGATATGAATACAGGATAACCACCCCCTCCTTAAAGCTTGGAACAACTAGATAACTTAACCATGACATGCACAAACTTGCCTGTGACACTCCTCCCATGCACTGTACATAACTGGTTTTGGCTGATCATGTCACGACCCCGCCCGATTAGCTCGTAAATATGAGGCGGGGAATCGGACGCTCGAAACAGTTCATTCAGCATATTGCATATATAAAAATTTTAAAAGACTTCAATAGGAACATAAAAGCGCATCTAAACTTTTCATTTCATAACAAAAGAGAGTTCATGTACAAGGTGATTATAAACTTAAACTATTCAGATCAAAATCAGCCAAAAGAAAAAGTAACTACAACTAGGAAAACAATATAAAAACCTGCCACCCAGTACACGAACAATTATTACGTCCTCCGACCGGACGTAGAGGAACCGGTCGGAGGCCAAATCACGCCAAAAAATGAGAAATGCCAAGCAATACCAAACAATAACAAGGAATACCATCACGTGAAGACCCAATACCGAGTTATACCGAGCTATACCGAGCAATACTGAGTTATACAAAAGTTGTACTGAGTTTTTCCTAGAAAAAACTCGGTACAACTCGGTATTGCTCGGTATAGCTTGGTATAACTCGGTATTGATCTTCACAGAGTGGTATTCCTCGTTATTATCAAATAATACATAGTAATACCGAGCAAATACCGAGTTTTTTGGCAGGATTTTGCCTCCGACCGGACGTTCCTCCACGTCCTTACACCGGACCTAATAAAAGTTCCCAGTACACGACGGCTGTATATGAACCTTGGGTGTTCCGCCATTCACTTATGAGAAGGTTCTCCTGAAAAGTATCCCGAAACTTGGGAGTGAGCTACGCTCAGCAAATGACAAATCACATCTAAAATTCATACAAGGAAAATAAGTAATATGCAAAGATATTATCGTATGCTTACAGATGTCGATGTCCTATTTTATATGTACATCCAAAATTGTCAAAACCATGTGTTCCTTTCTATAGGTTATATGCTCTTAAGTTGATGTCATATGAAATGTGTATGCCTAAATTCTATGTTCTAATTTACATGTCATATTCTTACCTCATTCAACATTTACTATTTTTTATTTAGCTTATTCATATCGTATACACCCGTATCAGAGTACCCATATTGTACTGATCAGGTACAAACTCATATTTGGCCATTTATCATCATATTGCTCCAAGAGCCTTATTGTTCCAGAGAATCTTATTGTGCCAAAACACCATATTTGGTACTCCGCAAATCAACATACACAAACTTGCATTCCATAAACATAACAATAAGATTGTTTACATCGTAACATAAGCAATTTCATAAAATCAGATGATGTGCCACATGTATGTGAATGCTTGTAGTAGGCATGAAAGTATAACATATATTATCATGAACCATACATGAAGATACCATATGCAACATAAAGAACATAATACAAGATTTGAGATTTGTGTTAACATCCAAAATTAGACATAAGCAAAACATAAGAGAATTTCAATGATGCTCATAAACATAAGCAAAATATAAGGAAATTCTATGATGCTCATAAACATAAGCAAAACATAAGGGAAGACTATAAATTTTAAAATGCAATGTGTCACTTACCTTTAGTTTTCCTTCGCTCAACTTCTCTTCGCATAATTCCTTGAATCGAAACAAGAATTATATCTTCTCTAAATTTTCCTACAACAATGTAAAGAGTAGTAACCTACACTTAAATATTAATACTATGATCTAACCTAAAGCATTTTCACCATAACCCTTAATTAAATAGATTTAATTGAAATTTTCAGTTTTGCATTAAACCTAATTTTTGGAACCCTAAGATTTCAATAATTTCATTCAAATTACTTTTAAAAACACTCTCCTTTCCTATATATATAAATAAATCATTAAAATTTCGGAATAATTCATAAAAATAATTGAAAAAATTAGTTTTTTCTCAAAATATCAATTTCCCTTAATAAGAGACTTCTCTAAACCCTTAGGAACATCTTTAGTGAGCATGCAAGCTTAAAAATCATAGGTTAGGAAAAACCCTAATTTTTAAAATCAAATTTTTTTAAGAAACCATTGCATTTTTTTATATCAAATCCATTTCTTTAGGTTCTTCTAACATTCTCTACAAAAATAATTCAAAAATGAGAAACCTTAATTTTGGATTTTATGTTTTCCCTTAAGAAATATGCAAATTTAGGGCATAAAAAGGTAGGGATAATCAAGCCCTAAAGGTTTTCTAAAGAAACATCCAATAAAATTTAAACCATAATTTCTTACTTCAAGAAAATCTTATGAAAAATACAAGATTCTTTAAGATTAACATACCTCCTAGCTTCTCCAAGTCTCCCTTTATCTTTTTCCTAAAGGCTCTCGCCAGAAATCTCGCCGGTCGCCGCCCCCGAGCCCAAGCTGACGCCTCTCCCTCTCTCACTCTTGCGTGCTCTCTTGCTCGGTCGAACGAAATCAACAAGGGACCGAAATATTCGGTCCCTTAGGCTTATGAGGGCTTAAGGAAATGTCTTTAGATGGTATATTACGCATGCACCCTTGCTAATAACATTTCCTTAAGAGTTCCTAGTGGAAAAAATGGAAGATATGGCTAATTATTACTTAAACAAACTTCGGCGAATTTTAATTTCAAAACCGTGCGGAATTCGATATAGGTTATTTATATCGTTTCAATCGAAATTTTGTGGCGAATTTAATAAAATTTATTTCGTCGAATTCCGACGCATTGAAATTTCGCCTAATTTCGTCGCGGCGAATCGAAATGCGTGCGACGCACTTAAACGACGAAATTTTGGGTTTTACCGATCAATACTATATAATATCTTATATAGGAGTAAGAACTTAACAAAGAGTTTGCTAAACAAAATGAGGCAATGAGGTAATGACGTTAAAAAGTACATAAAACATATAAATACTCACCTCATGATAAATACAATATATTTTACACTCTCTCAAATGAGAATGAAGCACGAACATCCATGTCACAGAAGTAGTTGTTTAATTGATGATATTAATACAACAGCGGTCAATTGATTAGAAAAGGAAAGACAAGCAAATTAATTATTCCGATTGCACTGAATTCTTCTAGTGATTCCATTCCACCTTTACATCTAGTTAAAATGGATATCTTTATTAGTATACAAATAACACATTAATGATGTATGTTAATTATGATGTAACTAACTTGCGTGATTTTCCCGAAATTCACTTGCAATGTTTGATGTCAACTCCTCCCTTACCACTCTTTCCCTAGCTAAAGCATAGGAATTCAAGTTCTTAATCACTGGCACCCTTCTAATTCAACATCATTTTGCATTTCAAATCTCACCTTATCAAAGTAGTCATACCTTGCGATTGACCTACTATAAGGAGTTTCCTTTCCCCCATCTTTCCTCGCTAAGTGGCTTTTGGGTATTTCATGTTCGGACTCGTACCTTCAGCCCTGAAATTTGATAAAGAAGTGCTGCGACCCTATTTTGCAATCTCATGAAATGGCATTGTTGCATCTGTTCATGGGAAGGGGAGGGGTAGCCCCATCTCCGATCCTATGCTATTGCCATGCTTGAGCCCGAGCGGCTTCACTCTAATCCTATGTATCTGGCTTCGAACCGAAGGTCAATCGATCACAAATTTGAATGATAATTGCATATCTTGAGTGAGATGCTTTGCTATTTTATCCCATATCAATGCCTATATAGTTATAAAGTACGACACATGCAAGTACTATGTTAGGCCTCATTCTAAAGGGAAATTATTTCATCTTTGTTATAATGGTAAAGCTTTCCTTTCATATGCCAAAGGTTTGCTCTACACATTGCAGAGTTGGACATGATGATGATTGAATAGTTCCTATGATTTGTTGTGTTGCCTTTGTGTTTTAGTTTTCCTGTCATTAAGATGGTAATGATGACCTCTAAAAGGAGCCACAAGGTAGCTTATGCATGCATAACTTGAGTTAGACTAATATTAAAAATTAATAAAGTTAGAGGAAAACAATTATTTTCACTAGTGAAATGGAGTACACACTCTCATTAATCACTCAGCTTAGTACTTGCATGTTTGCGACAAATACTTTCTATTCTGAGCTAATAAAAACAATTATCTATCAGATAACACTATTGCCTTACATTGAACTAGTGAACCTTACCTTGTTATAGTATCTATTATGGGACAGCATGCCCAAGACTAATGCCCTGCATGAATGTTCCAAAGTGTTCAATAGTAGCCGTATTCCAAGTGTCTTAAGTCATTAATAAATCCCTTAAATGAATAAATGTTTGTGTTGGCATATAGAAGCTTTCACATGCTCTTCTTAGTTGGTCTACAAGTGCATCATAAACTTATCCCACATTTAGAATATGTTTTATCGTACATGGGTCATAATGGATCATTCTACATTATAACTTTTTTTAGCAACATTGAAAATATATCAATAGCCATAATGACATCTTCCTTGGGATCCTTTAATAATCTATGTTAGTTCTTTTTACTTCCTTATGAGGTACTCATTCTAAATGGTCTAGAAAATAGAGTTTTTGTGTTTCATAGTTTGGTTGGGAGAAGTATCTTTATACATATGCACATGAACAAAATGACAAGCATAGTTGTTTTGAAGTTATTATTACGAAAGCAATAAGTGCA